TTATTTCAATTACCTGAAACCCAAACATTTGCTGGAGCCAATCGAGAATGTCGACCTCAGCTGACTTGTTCGGCTGATGCTCTAAAGCAGCTGGGAAAGGTAAGCCTCGAATATTTCTCAAAGCATCGACAGCTGCTTTTATCTAAGAACAAAAACGTAAGAGCCTTCGACGGAAAAGACGAGTGAACTAAAGCACCTCTGGCAACTGCATTATAGCTTGCGATGCGCCAGCGGCATCCAGAGGAAGAATGTTGTACGGCGCGTAGATGTCCTTTTTTTCTTTGACATCTTCACCCAAAGCTATGATCTGGAAACCTGGAGTTAGTACCAGCACTTGAAGAAAGTAGCATGCACTCACTTCGGGAGCAACTTCCTCAGTTTTGTTGACAGCACAGAGTACTTCAAAAAGAACTCCGGCAGTTTGATACGCCTTGGCAAGTTTAGCACTGGAGACACACAAAGCATTCCAATAGGCTGGCAGATTAAGATCGAGCAGAAAGTACCGGTCACTTTGATCAATCTTGTCGAGGGCTTTGACATATTTCTCGTAGTACTGCTGGTAGTAATACTGGATCTCCTTTGCATCGCTTCTTTTAACCCGTTGAGCGAGTGACGAAGCATTGTCCTGAAAGAAATATCGGACTCATCAGGCCCGAAAGTGACACTGGTAGAAAACGAACGCTCACCTTTTCCAGTCGCTGCAAGAGTGCTGTCTTGAACTGACGAACACCTCTGCCACTGGAGGTAGGATCCAGTCGGTGCGCCTTCTCAAAAGCATAGAATCGACCTAGCAGCGGAGATACAGTGTCAAATAGCGCCGTGATGCTCTATCGGATGAACTTACAAAGATAAGCCACGCGTGGCCGCTCCTGTTCCACATCGTTCGCGACTCGCAGGATCGAAGCAATTGAGGCGAGCGACGACGGTACGACTTCGCTGTCAAGAACCTCGCCGCTCGTGTGCGTGCCGGAGAGGCGCCGCCCGGCGTCTCCTCTCGACGTTGCCATTGCGAAATATTTTTCCGCTAGCCTCGAATCGGCCAGATGCGCGCGTCGGTCACCTGCATTGCTAGGCGGAGCTGATCCAAGACAGTGATCATCCGCATCGCCGCATTGCAATCGCGCCCTGGGCGCTGCGACAGACCTAAAACCCTAGCTAGCGCCTTGAGAGAAAGAGAGGGAGAAAGAAAGAAAGAAACAAGACAAAGAAAGAAAGGAATGTAGGGTTATTTGGCCTTCCCACTTTATCAGCCATGCATGGCGCCCCATTTGCCGCCCGGCCAAACGCATAAAAAGTGCTCCAGAGGGAGCCCAAAAGCTGACGTGGCATGCCTTTCGCGTGTGGGGGTAGAAAAAAGAGAGATTTCCATAAATTTTACTCTTACAACACACAGGCGTGAGGAGTTCGTGTGTGTTTTTTTAAAAGGCTGCCGCGATGCGTGTTTTCTAACCATACGTCAAAAAGAATGCCATGGAGATCTTGAAAATTTACCCATTCTTTGCCCGGTTAAATCGGCTTTCTTGGTCACGTAGATGTAAGAACCTCCCACTCCAAAAATTACCGCGACGACTATAACAAACGCGATTCCCACTCTTACCCCTTCGTTCACACGGCTTTGGAGATGATCCATCGTCTTGATTTTCATTCGCCCTTGCCATTTTGGAGAGGAAGATGAAAATCTCCAGCGGGAGATGGAAGAAGATTAGTTACCGGAGGAGAGAGAGCTTGGAATTGCTGGGCGATGCATAGCTCCAAGTTAAAGAGCGCCACGATCACGAGAACTAAAACCATAGCTATCGATCAACTCGTGGATGGATAGCTAGAGGGAAAATTCGACTGATATCCGCCCACCCTCCAAGACCGTTAAAACCCTCAATCCCTAATTAGGGTTCCTGGCGATGGCTTGGAGAATGCCGCGGGCGCTGCCGCCGGAGCCGCTGCGCAATCCATCGCATCGGCGCCTTGGATTTCCGTGCGCGGCATCGGCGGAAGGATCGCGATGGGTGCATTTTGTAGGGATTGGCGGCACTGGATTGTCCCCTCTCGCTTTGCTAGCGCTCAAGCAGGTATGCTTGTTATTTCTGGTAGTAGTTACTGACATTGTGGCCATCCCAATGCAGGGATGGAAGGTTTCTGGATCTGATGCTACATGGAGCAATAAATTGAGATCGCTGGAAGAAGCTGGTGCCATCGTTCATGCCGGCCATGACGAGCGTTGGCTTCGCGACTGTGGGATTTTTCCCGATGCTGTTGTGGTGTCTAGTGCGATTCCTGCCGAAAACGAAGAAGTTGTAGCTGCTCGCCGTCAAGGCTTACGAGTGTAAGTGAAGCACCACCCAGTAGAAACGTAACTTCAATTTTTTTTAATTTTATTTTTCCTGCCAGAATCAAACGAAAGGAATGGCTGGGTGAGATCACCGAAGATTATGAGCTTATTGCTGTGGCTGGAACTCATGGTATGACGCTTTGAATCCGCTAATACACTTCGCTCTAAACTCGAGAATGCAGGCAAGAGTACCACCACGGCGATGCTGACCGTTGTTCTTCAAAGTTTCAGTGATGATATTACGGCCATCGTTGGTGCTGACGTCCCACAGGTAGCTGTTGTTCTATTGTAGTGACAACCGTTTCCCAGCAAGTTTGCAGTTGGCTGGCGGTAATATGGCTTATGGAAAAGGAGGCCGTTTCGTCCTAGAGGTGTGCTCTTCACACTAGATCCCAGGCATGTAAAGTTGTGTATGTGTTTTTGTTCTTCCTGATAGAATGTTTTGTTCCAGGCAGACGAGTACGATGGCTGTTTTCTGGGCGTTTCGCCTTCCCTCGCAATTGTCACTAGCGTGGAATGGGAGCATGTCGACATGTTCCCGGACGAGGTATAGTGTCGGTCTCTCTCTTTTTGTTTTTAATTGTCTACAGATCAAGCTGTCTAGCAGGCGTCCGTGCGAGAAATGTTCAAGCATTTTATTTCCCGGATCAAGCCGGACGGCTGCCTGATAATTTGTGGCGACAGGTTCTTTCTGCGATGTTCATTGTTTTGCCAACGTAATCCTTCTCTTCAGTGCAGGGACGCGATCCTTGATCACTAGCCTCGAGCAATATTCCAAACAGGCTTCTAGGAAACTCACATATGGCCTTCACGAACAAAATGATTGGCGAGCAATCATGCTTGTGCCAAACATCTTGGGTGGTACAGATTATGTTGCTGTATAATTTCGTCACTCGGCACTTCGGCAACATGGGAGGGACTAATGATTTATATTGCGTGAATGCAGGTGTACAGGAATAGGCCCATGGCCAGGGTCAGCTTGAAGCTTCCGGGCACATACAACGTACTCAACTCTCTAGCGGTAAGCCTTTGTTGAGTTTGCGTATTTAGATCCTTTTGTCGTTTGCTCACCTTCGATGTCCAGGTTCTCGCGGCAGTGTCACTGTTGGCATTCAAAGGCAAAGGATCATGTGATGAATCTGGCCAGCTGAAAGCCATGGCAGTGGCTGCACAAGCCGCCAGCAGCGCCTTGCAAAGCTTCCAGGGGCTCCGCCGGCGCTTCGAGTACGTAGGAACCGTACGAAGGTGTGACATATATGACGATTACGCGCATCATCCGACGGAGGTCCGCGCTGTTCTTCAAGCAGCTCGTCAGAGATTTGATAAGCAGCCGATTTGGGTGGTTTTTCAGCCACACACATACAGGTAAGTTTCGGCCTCGTTCTTGGCGTTGCTTCTTTTTCACGGTATGACAAGATGGTGCATGCAGTCGTATCGCCAACCTGCTACAGGACTTTGCTCCGGCATTTAGCGGTGCCAATAGAGTGATCGTGACGGAGGCCAGTATTCTTTTCTCTTGTCCTTATAAAATATTGCTTGCTCTGAGTTCGTACCTACATTGTGGCAGATTTTTTCGGCCAGAGAGAACAACGTTTGGGAACTTAGCGGCGCGGACTTGGTCTCCGTTATTACAGGCCCACCTGCGATGTTCATACCAACCTTGGTGAGTGCTTAGCTAGCTCCTTGAGGCGTGCTTGTTTTTGCCTCTGACCACGCATGCACATATCCAGGACGAAGTTATAGAACGTCTCTCTTGGGAGCTCACAGCGCTGGAGGAGAACGAAGTCAACAAAGGGGGGAATATCGTACTCCTTACGCTCGGTGCAGGTTTGTTTGATTCCAATTTTTTAGTTTTTTAGTTTTTTTTTGCGCTCTCTACTCAAATCTTTTGACGAGACAATGCTTTTATTGCTCGCATCATCAGGTGATGTAACAAGTGTTGGACCGAAACTCCTTGACGCTCTCGCTTCCTCCCGTGAGAGAGATTGAAAGAGCCATGGATTAGATTTCAACAATTCAAGCAGTGGGTCACTGGCGCACCGATAAAAAATTTACGTCCAAACACGTGCCACCGCCATGCGCAGAAAGAACCCAGGAAAAACAGCTCCCTTCTTCTAAGTTCTTTACCAAGCTCGGAGAAAAAATGGAGAGAGAGAGGGCAAACATTTTGTCCAAGGGGTTGACCAACTTATAACGGAATGGTTGAATTGACCAGCCGCATATCCTGTAAGCGCGTTGATGCGCTAAACGACGCCTGGAATGTTTTCCCGCTTATGGCGGGGTTTGACCGTGACCGAGAGAATCGCGTCCCTTGGATACCGCCACGTGCCACACCGACATGCTGGCGTGGGCTACCAAGGTCGGTGTCGCGTCGACGGTGGCCAGCCCAATTTGCACACGTGTCTACAGCAGGGCGTCCGCCCGTTTCAAATTTAAAACCTAGGGCAGCGGTGGCAGGAATATCCTCAAAGCGCGCGGGAAGGGACGAGGAAGGCGGGCCGGGCAAATGCGCCTGGATGGACCCCCGCGAAGCTTCGTCAAAGGCGGCAGAGCAAGCAAACGAGAGATTGATCTTATCTTGCGGATCTTTCGTGCGATCCAGGACCGATAAGCTCCTCGAATTGATATCGCGCACACTCCACTCGAGATAGACGAGAACGCGATAGGAATCGAGAAAAATGTGTGTGTGGGTTGCGAGAAAAAGGCCTCGCTTGTCTGTCAATCAGGCCATCGCGCGAGCAGATGAGCAGCAATTTCTACAGGGGATCTAGCATGAGTTTTAGAGCTGATGAAATAGGACTCTCTATAACTTTCTTCTTTCATTTGGGGGGAATCTACTAAGTAGATTATTCACTAGGTCGGTTTTTGGTGAAGAAGTTCCAGTTCTCCCCTCCCGCTCTCTCTCTCTCTCTCTCTCTCTCTCTCTCTTTCCAGAAGGAAGAAAAGGTGTTTTTTTTTCTTTGTTTGGGTTTGAGCGTGGGCGGTGCAAAGGACGCGCACGCAACCATCAAAACCAAAGAGTGGCAAAATACTGAGGAATTCGAAGTCGTGTTCCGACTGTTGTGCTGTTGTACAACAGCTCAGACACTCTCCACTGTTTTAATCGGAAAGGGCTTGAATCGCTGCCGACAAAATCATGTAGCTTTTGAAATCTAGGAGCAGGATCCATTCAGCACACCAGGCAAGGAGCAGTGGTAGCAAAGCAGCAGTAGCCACAAGGGAAAAAAAAATACAATCTAGCGAGAGCGATCCAGATTCCAGAACGAGTGAGAGAGAGCTAGGGAGCTTCACTTGGATGAAGCCTCGTGACGAGCGGCAGCAACAAACGCGCTGTGATGATCGCTCCGCCGAGAATACTATCCGTCCAGCCAGCCACGAGGATAATCAAGTCAGCAAGTAAGCAGCCGATCATCACAGCAAAATTCGCTTCTTCGAGATCGAAGGTGGAGTTCCCCGGGGGTGGCGGTGATTTTCATCGTCGGCAAGATCGCAGTGGTGGCGATGGTGGTGGTGGCGGTGCCAGTGGCGGTGGGAAGGAGGAGCAAGAGGAGGAGGAAGAGTCAAGCACCGCCAAGAGGCCGCGGCTCCAGGATCCTCATCAAGAAGAACACCACGATCAGCAAGCTCGATCACTGCGGAGCTCCGATTTCCATGTAGACCCGCGGCAGATACCGGGATTCATGGATGGGAGGGGTGAGATTTTGACCCAGGAACGGTCGCTAATGGTGAGCGTCCTCTCTCACGTCGGTCAATCGGGTAGTACGTCGACTAGCAGTAGCTCCTCGCCTTTCGCCGGCGATTCCTCTTCCAGGATGATCATCCCGCAGGACCAGCGCCGCGGTGACGATCAGCAAGCGCTCGAGCAGGCGCAAGCTTCACACAAGCGGCAGCGGGATGTGGAGCAATTAGACTGGAGCTACGAGTATGATCACGAGTTTAAACCGGAGGCTCTAGGAGCAAGTGGCTCCGGCGATCGACCGGCAATGCATGTCGCGTCAATCGGGCAAGCTCGATCGGTCTCATCGATCACAGCGCAGCAGGCACAGGCCCAGCTGCAGCAGCAGCAGCAGCAATCTCACGATCATCAGCGAGGTATGTGCACGTTACATCAAAGCGTATACGGATCGAATCGAATCCATCCTCTTGTTCAAATCCTAGATTCCCGAATACGATCGTCCGCAATGCTCGATGCTCAAAATCCAGCTTTGCCGCGAGAAAAGCATCCATTCTTGCTCGATCTCTTTCTAACTTCTCGTCTTTGTTTTCTCTCTCAATGCAGGAGGAACAGCGCTAGCGCCGGCGCAAGCGCGCGGAGCGGGCGATCAGCGCCAGCAGCAACAACAGCAAGAGAATCCAAGGCCGCGATACCGCGGCGTTCGCCGGCGGCCATGGGGGAAGTGGGCGGCAGAGATTAGGGATCCCAAGAAGGCGGCACGGGTATGGCTGGGAACCTACGACACCGCCGAGGGCGCGGCCAGGGCGTACGACGCAGCGGCCATCAATTTCCGTGGCCACAGGGCCAAGCTCAACTTCCCAGACGAGTACCACAGCCGCCAGAGGCAGCGCGAGCAAGAGAGGAAGCAGCAGCAGGAAGCGCAGCAGCTGATGCAATCCAGGGCGGCCGCCGCGGCAGCGCAAGCGAGCACCACTCCCCCTCCCACTCCTCGTCCTCCTCCCGCTACGGCGTCTTTCGCATGGCCGCAGAGCGCGCAGAGCTTGTTCCACGCATCGGTGCTCCAGCAGGAGCAACTTAGGGTTCTTGGCTATCGCCCGCCATTCCTCCAGCAATCGCCATCCGTTGGATTCTCCTCCCAGCAGCAGCAGCAGCTCCAGCAGGCCCAGCAAACCCAGATTCACGAGCAGCAGATCCATCGCCAGCAACAAATCCAGCAGAGCCTAGCCCAGCTGCCGCGATTTGGAGTGGAAGAACAGGATCCACAGCATCAAGAGCAGCAGCGCAGGCGGCAAGAGATTCTTTTGCAGCACCATTTGCTCCGGCAGCAGCAGCATCAGCAGCAGCAGCAGCAGATGATCGAGAATTTGTTCTCGCAAGAATGGCATCACGAGCAGAGCTTCAATCCATTCGAACTCGACGAGGAGGAGGAGAGCGATCCTCGTCCCCCTCCTCCGTCATAGCAATCAGTGTTCTTCTTTCTTCCTCCCCGGGAGAAGGAAAGCTGTCTATCGTTTTTCTCTTTTTCGTTCATTCATTCATTCGTCTTCGCATAGATATTGTTTCTAAAAATCCAATTTTGGCGAGTTCGATTCGCAGTTTTTTCTTCTCGGATAAAATAATCTGGGCCTTTTTGGATCATATTGCGTGTTCTTTCTAAGACGTATGAACGTAAGCTACTGCTGATTGGCAAATCCAATTAAAACTCCTCACCAAAGAAAAAAATAAAGGCTAAAAGAAAAAATCGGTGTACCTTGTGTTCTTTGCGTCCGTTTCTTCAACTTCTTCTTGTCTCATTTCCTCCAGCAAACACGAGTCGACGATTTCCACCTCCCCCCGCGAGATGAGATGGAAAGAGCGAGGGCAATTCATCGCGATTTCGTGTGACACATTGTTCTCGTGGAATCATCTGCTTTGAGCCTGAAAATTTTGACCCTTTGAGCTAGAGCGAGAGACGAATGACATGGATACAAAAGAACAAAGTGCCGTAGTGCTGATCCCACTTTGAGACATTTTCCTTGACATTCTCGGCCACGAAAATAGAACTCTCGACACGGTCAACCGGCTTAAAGACACACCTTGCCGTCTTTTATCAAGAGCCCTAATTTCTAGGCGAATGTAGGGTTAGGGCTGGGTTAAGGCTTTAAAATTGAGCATATTCGTTACCCATTTGGCGGGCAGTTTGAATTTCATGGGACAACCGTTTTAGGGTTCTTCGGGACGTCATGGACGATAAGGAGAGGGCCATGGAGCGGCGGCGGCAGCAATCCAAGAAGGAGGAGGCCGCGATCCTCCAGGCACAAGCTCAGGAGCAGGTGCGCAAGTCCGAGGCGGCCAACAAGCTCCCCACGCGCCAGTTTGCGATCTATGATCTCCAGGGCCGCGGTGCGCCGCCCAAGAACATCTTCGATGCCGCGGAGATTGGCGATCACCGGGCGGTGCTCAAGTTCTCCAAGGACAAGGATTTCGATGCCGATGCCAAGGTATGGCATCGCCTAAATTCCTCCTCTGTCTCGATTCATCCAAATGGGAGTGTAGGATCGGTATGGAAGAACCGCGCTGATCTGGGCGTCCGATTGCAACCATCTCAAGATTTGCGAGGATCTCATCAAGCTAGGCGCCAGCATCAATGCGCAAGACACGCACACGAGCAGGTACAAAGAGTGGATTCGTCACAGACATGGTCAAAGAAATTTCGCTACTGATTTGGGGAAATTTTCTCTCTAGGAAGAAGATCATGATGATGATGAGATGATCGTTTCCTTGCATTGCAGAACTGCTCTCCACTGGGCGGCCAGAGCTGGAAGCTTACCCATTGTCCGTATCCTTCTATGATCTTCTTCTTCTTCTTCTCCCACTTCTTTTGCTACTCCTTGATCCATCCAAGGCCTGCTCGTCCAATTCGGCGGCAAGATCAACCGGGAAGATAAGTACGGCCTCACGCCGCTCTACCTCGCGAGAACAAAGGGCATCGAGGGCGAGGACGTCTTCAAATTCCTCCTCTCCGAGGGCGCAGCATTTAACGAGCACAAGCTCGTCAACATCGCCGATGTGGAGGCCCAAATCCAAGCGGAGATGGATGCCAAGCGCAAAGAGGCGGCGGAGGCGGCGGCGGCGGAAGCCTCTGGGAATGGTAATGGCGCTTGAATGTATTTTCCCTCTTTTACATTTATCCTTTCCAAGAGCCCTAATTTTGCTAAGCTATGGCGGCCTCCCTCCGCGATGGCGCGCTCTCTTTCCCATTCCAGCGCCACAATCCCGAGCCGGTGAGCTCGAAATATCGCTGCGGCGGCAGGATCAGCATCAAGAGCGCTCGCGCGTCCACGATCTTGGAACAGGAAGGTAAATCGCGCGGTAGCAGCGATAATCCATCGCTCGCGGCTAGGGTTGAGCGATCCTTGCTCGGCGTGGCGCAAGCAGGGGAGTCTCCTCGCGCACGGATCCAGTATCTGCTTGATCGGGCCGCGCGGCTGCCGCGGCTCGGGGACGAGGAGCGCGTGGCGGAGAACAGGGTCATGGGCTGCACTGCACAGGTTTGGCTGACGGCGAGTCTAGATGATGATTCCAGTGGCGCTGCCGCCGTGCACATTGGAGCTGACAGTGATGCCGAGCTGACTCGGGGATTCTGTGCAGTTCTCCGGGAGGCTCTCGATGGCGCACTGGCGGAAGAGATTGTGGGGCTGTCGCTGGACCTGGCAACCATGGGATTGAGTGGTTCGTCGTCGCGATCCAACACCTGGTATAATGTGCTCCTTGCTTTACAGAAGCGCGTGAGGCATTTGCTCGCTCGGCGCGAGGGAAAGCGTACGTTTGATCCCTTTCCTTCGCTGGTCATCACTGCCGATGGATTCAAGCCGGAAGGAAGCTTTGCGATCGCGCAGGTAGGCACGAGAAAGATAAAACTTAGATCTTTCTATATCGTTCTCATGTCTTTTTTTTTTTTTTTTCCTTCTTGTTACTTAGGCGAAGTATCTGTTGCCAGACGCAACTAAGGTTCAGCTTCTTGCAGATTATCTCAGGAAGAAGCGCATCGGAGTCGTGGCACATTTTTACATGGACCCCGAAGTTCAGGGTGTTTTGGTTGCTGCTCAGAAGCTATGGCCTCACATCCACATATCAGACTCGCTCGTCATGGCGGATCGCGCAGTTAAGATGGCTGACCAAGGCTGTCAGGCCATTGCTGTGCTTGGTGTGGACTTTATGTCCGAGAATGCAAGAGCAATCTTGGATCAGGCTGGCTACGAAAAGGTTTGTTTCTTTTCTTTTTTGTTGTTAGTGTTATTAATGTGTGGTACTATAGGTTCGTGTTTATCGAATGTCCAAGGAAAGAATAGGATGCTCACTTGCTGAAGCGGCAGAGAGCTCGTCTTACACAGACTATTTAGAAAATCGCAGTGTAAAGGCTCCAGCTCTGCATGTCATCTACATCAACACGTCTCTAGAAACAAAAGCTCGATCTCATTCTTTGGTTCCAACTATTACGTGCACTTCGTCCAACGTTGTCCAGACAGTACTACAGGTTTGTCTTTCCTTGCTTTGTCTGATAACTCACTTTTGTCGTAACAGGCATTCGCTGAAATACCCGATCTAACTGTGTGGTATGGTCCTGATTCCTACATGGGTGCCAATCTTGCGGTATTGTTTCAGCAACTTGCAGCTATGGAGGACGATGACATTGCAGCAGTCCATCCTTTGCACAACAAGCGAACAATAGCCTCCCTGCTGCCGCGTTTTCACTACTTCCAGGTACCCCGAGTCGCAGCTCATTGCCTTTATTAGTTTTTTGACACTGGCACCGTGGCAGAATGGTTCGTGTATCGTGCACGATATGTTTGGAAAGGATGTTGTGAGCCGGGTCCGGGAAGGTTACGGCGATGCCTATCTCACAGCACACTTCGAGGTTCCAGGGGAAATGTTTACTCTTGCAATGGAAGCGAAAAGAAGGGGAATGGGAATTGTAGGATCGACGCAAAACATTCTGGACTTCATCCGGGTCCGGGTCCAGGAAGCCGTGGAACGCGATTTTGACGATCGTCTCCAGTTTGTGTTGGGAACGGAGTCCGGAATGATAACTGCTATAGCTGCAGCCGTGCAACACATCCTCAAGGGTGACAAATCGGCTGGCAAGAGTGCAAGCATAGAAGTGGAGATCATTTTTCCCGTGTCCTCCGATGCTGTGACAACGTCTTCCACGGATAATTCTCTCAGCTCTTCGGCCTTCACAATTGTCCCAGGCGTTTCCTCTGGCGAAGGATGCTCACTAAGTGGAGGATGTGCTTCCTGTCCATACATGAAGGTAAAGCTTTGCTATTATCTCGCTGCGTTTTTTACTCTCTCCATCTCTCGGTGTAGATGAATTCGCTAGATGCGCTACTACGAGTTTGTGCGCTAGCTGGGACGCACAAGGAAGATTTTCTGTCTGCGCACGAGATCAAGCACATGAAAAGGGACGTCGGTGGCCAATCCATGACCCAACTTGGATGTGCTCCCATACTCTACATGCGCCATTTCCAGGTACGTGAAAAATCCATCTCTAAATCTCTACGTGGCTTTGAACGCGTGAGGTTCCTTTGCGCAGTCCCAGAACAAGTTACCAGAAGAGCTCAAGCAGCGCATTATTACCAGTGCCTGATCGTGGAGTGTTCTTTTCGAGTTTCGATTAACTTGTCCTCGACACTTTGCAGTCAAGCTAATCTCGTCATTTCCGACATGAAAACATGAATAATCTGGTGGAAAAGTCGCGAGGATCTGATAAATCCCTTTCTCGCATTTTCTCATCGAAAGCAAATATTGTTTTTCCGGATAAGAATCGATCGATCTAAACGTGTGCTGATTAAAATATCGTAAAATCTTTATAGTACTGATTTACACTAAGTTCAACGTTGCATTCAATTCTCCGCGTGCGAGTGGGAAAACAGCTTTGAAAAAGAATCATTTAACAATGCTGGTGGTCATCTTGTAAAAATCATTGCCATGGTTGGCAATTTTAATCCAAACAAGGAACACATGATCCATTTTAAGAGCCAAAGTGCTGGAAATATTTATAGGCGGTCTCCTTTTGCGTGCTCTCCTAAAGTCTAGATTTCTTCCAGTTTTCTTTGTCCTTCCATGCTTCTTGGAGGGGCAAGCCAGTGAGAAAAAGAAGAGAGGAGACGAGGAGCCGCTATGGCGACCGACATGGAGGCGGGCAAGCGAGGTGAGCAAGAGGAAGAGTTCCATGGCGATTCGAAAGAGGAGCAATCGCCAATTGAGCAAGTGGCGCTCACGGTGGATGTGGAGGACGATCCCTCGCAGCCAGTGTGGACGTTCCGGATGTGGGCGATTGGCATCCTTGCGTGCGCAATGCTCTCCTTCCTCAACCAGTTCTTCTCCTACCGCACGGAGCCGCTGGTGATCACGCTCACCTCGGCCCAGATCGTGGCGCTGCCAATCGGCCGCTTCATGGCCGCGGTGCTGCCCACCAGGATCTACCGCGTCCCCTTCACGGGCTTCGAGTTCTCGCTCAATCCGGGGCCCTTCAACAAGAAGGAGCACGTCCTCATCACCATCTTCGCCAATGCTGGCTCCGCGTTTGGGAATGGAGGGGCTTACGCGGTCTTCATCGTCGACATCATCAAAGCTTTCTACAAGAGGAAGATCCA